CTGAATGCGGAAAGCGTCCTAAAGGAGGAACACCTGTGGACCTATCCGATCCCGGTGGCGCTGGCACGCATTATGCTCCCCACTAGGGTTCCCGAGAGACGAACCATGGTTCCGCTCAGCTCACCTCGATCAACGACGCGAAAGAGAAATGGAGGCACGCAGGGTCCGCACCAGACCACACTCAATTTTCGGAGGGCGCAGCCTGCCGGTGATGCCCCTCCCCCACCTCTGCCTCCTCCTCCTCCCCCTCCTTCCCCGCCCCCTCCTCCTCCTCCCCCACCCCAACACGCCTGGCAGCAGCCTGCTGGGTCCGCCAATCAGGTAGCGCAAGTAGCAGAAGCCCCGCAACCGGGCGACACTATGTTCAACACCCCCCCGGTCGGGGGTACGACAATCACTTCCATCGCCGGCCGCTTGGTTGCCAGTCCTCACCCCCGCACGTCCTTCCCTCCAGCAGCCACTCATGGTGATCAGGGGACTTACTCCTCCACCTGTCATACACATCTCCCCGGAGAGCTCCGCGCAATCTACACTCAGCCGGGCTGGTAAGGGCAAGAAGAAGAAGAACCCGGGTGGCGCGGCAAGGGGTGGGGCTACCATGGCCAGACGACCCTCGAGGGTGTGATTACACACAATCACCTCTTTCCTGCACCAGCCCATCCTAGGGTTCTTTTTCTTTTTCTTCTTTCTTCTCCTTGTTATCCCTCACCTGTCTCGTTCTTCCCTGCACCTTCTTTTATCGCCAACCCCACTTGCCTCCGTCGCATGACATGCATGCGTGATATGATCCCCTCTTCCTCTCTCTCTCCCCTTCTCTACTTTATTCTCCCCGAGCCCGTGACATGTTCTATCTCCCCGACCTACTCCGTGTCTTGTACCTGTGTGCTTTCAAGCGCAGGATCCGGACGGATGGGTCAACGCACCGGGCCAAATGATCAAACTACCAAGTGGCAGAAGAGCATGGAGGAGGCAGAAGCCGGAATGTGACACCTTCCTGCACCTGAAGTATACCAGCCGTGTGATGGAACCGATATCCGTCAGGAAGCTGGTAAACAGGGTTCTCAGTAGGGTGGTGGGGGATGACACTGCGACTTGGCTGGAACGCGCGAGGATTGGAAGACATATAATCACAGCATAGCGTCTAGGCTGTGATGACCTGCGGAGGTTTTCTGCGACTTCAGTATGTCACAATGGATGGAAAGCTACGATCCAGAGCAGTGCCCATGCAGGACACGCAGATATTCGGACATGCGCAACAACTGGTCCATCGACTTGCTCCGCAACGAGGGTTGCACCCACGTCATCACCTTGGACTCCTCTATCACGAATAGTCCGCTGCTGCAGAATATCATCAATGCGGGCCTCAATCACATCCTGTGCCTGACACTGGACATGGAGGAAGCGATTGCCGAAGTAGGGAAGATGTTGGACCAGCTGTTTGCACGGATCATGGAGCTACGTGACCTCACGAATCCACCAGGCCTTTTCTCTGAAGAATCATCCTCAAGAAAGCGAGGGAGAAAATGGAGAAGTACCGGGCGGCGCATGGGCACATCATGGTGGAACCGTTCGAACTTCCAGCCGTCAAGAGGGAGCTGGCGTTCCTGACTAGCAAATTCCTCATCTGCCCTACGGACAAGGCTCCCAACACGCCCGCCTTCGTCTGCAAGAATTTTATGCGGAAGCTCGCCCTCCAGAGACCGTCCGGCCCGGAGTTTGACTGCATTCCCATGCCTCCTGCAGCCATCGTGACTCGGATCCGAGGCGAACTCTCCGCCTTCCCGGCGCTTCCTGCTACTGCGACTTCGCTTCCCTATCTGATGGCGGCTGTGTATCTTTTTAACGGAGAACGCGAAAAATTGAACGCGCGTTCATCCGTTTAACGGCCCCCCGACCCCCGTTAAATCACGTTAAACGCAAAAACGTGGGTGTCGCGTCGAATTCCGAAAAACGGAATTCGCGCGTTGGGCTTCGGACACGTGTACCTACGTGCCCGAACACTCAAACTAGAAAAAAAAAAAAAAATTGAAC